AATTGACAAAGGCGTGTGCGTGACGTGAGTTTCGCGAGTAGGAGGCCGCATTTCCACGCAGGACGAGATTGCCCCGCAAAAACCGCCGCATTTGCCTACGAGGTCTGCGTAGAACGGCCGCTACAAATATACGCGTCGCGATTCTACGCTCGAGACGTCTCCGTGGAGCGACTCCTAGCCGCGCGGCACCACGTCGCAACCATTGCCGTTCTACTAATTATTGCTGCGCAGCGATCATTATTGGCGCCGCAATGTCTTGCGCGGGTGACGACTGCGACAGATTGCTCCTCGCCGAGACGAATGCTCGATACTTCGCCGGGTACTCGATTAAAAGCGACGATTTTCTCCCTGAAAGCGAGTTTTCCGCGTTACTCTCAACGATTCCTGCTAATTTCTACTGACGTTGATTGGAATCTTAGCCAAAGTTGAAGTCTGAATAGAATAGAAAATTAAATTCAGGTTTAATCGATGTTGGTAAAAACTAGCCAGTATCGATTAAACCAACTTGAGTTTAGACTCTATTTGAACAAAGATTGAAACTCTAGTTAGGGTGTAATTGACGTTAGTAGAAACCGGCATAATTCTGAGTGATGCTCGAGTTAAGGTTCAACATAGGTAGAAGCGCGCAGTCTAAACTAAAATTTAAGCTCGGATTAAGATTTAATCGATGTAGATAGAAACGCACGGAAGTCTGAATAGGATTTAAGTTTGGGTTAAGATTTAACCGACGTAGATAGAAACGCGCAGAAGTTCACAGAGTAAGGTTTCAGCTCGAGTCAAGATTCAACCGACGTAGGTAGAAGCGCAGGTAGAAGTCTGACAAGTAACACTACCCAAGTGTGACACGCCATTTTTTTTTTTAACTCAACACGCGCATAGTATATGACATTTCATATGTGATATTTTATACAGGTCCGTCTTTTAATTTGCACAATTATTTATTATAGACGATTGCGTTTAAATAAAATTCTAAGTGGCGATGTACGTAAAATCTGATATCTATAAACCTGTAACATGTAAACCTAAAACCTATAAGTACGTAAACTCATACATACACTCAAAGTCCATAACTTGGAAACCCATAAACCTGAAATCCATAAATCCAAAACTCAAAAATCGTAAACTCAAAACACATAAAACCAAAATCCATACACTCAAAACCATCATTTGGGCTTATGGGTTTTGTGTTTATTAAATTTGCGTTTATATGTTCGAAATTTTGTGTTTTGCATGTATGAGTATGGATTTCGGACTTATGGATGTTTGTGGATTTCCGACTCATGTGTTTTGAGTGTGTAGGTTTACATGCTTATAAATTTTAGGTTTATATGTTATGAATTTATAAATATCAGTTTTTATATACATAACTACTTCGAGTTTTGTTTAAACAATCTAAGTAATTGCGCAAATTAAAAAAGGGGTCGATATAAAATATCGCATGTGAAACGTTATGTCATATGTGCATGCTGAATTTCAAGAAAAATTACGTGTCACACTTGGGTAGTGTTACTTGTGAGCAAGGTTTAAGATTGGGTTAAGACTTAATCGGTGTACGTAGAGACATGAAACCTTCCGCGTCTTTGCGATCTTCCTGGTAGATTCGAGACTCGACGAGACGGACGGCAGAACCGGGATTCGCAAGCATACACTCGGGTGCTACGCTTTTGCAGTACGTATTCGAACGCGGTTAGGAAAGGAAACTTCGGGTTGACAAACAGCGCGTGTATGCTCGCGCGTCAGATAGCCACACGGTGTTTCAGAGTCGATTTTCCCGAATAATTGCCCGCACTGCGACCGACATTATTCGGTCGAGTACTCCTTGGTCAGGCACCTGCGATACGAGTGCGGCGTGGAGAAGCGGTTCGACTGCAGGACTTGTCGCCGGCGCTTCGCTAGGGTGGACAGCCTGAGAGTGCACCAGAAGAGAATGGGCCACCACTTGGCACCCTACTCCAGGAAGCGGACGTCGGACTCGTCGAACTGCGACGTGGCGGCGGAGACTACGGTCCGGAGGGAACACGTCAACGAGAGTCATTGGCAGCGGCGACAGCGGCGACAACGGCGACAGCGGCGACAGCAACAGCGGCGGGTCGATTAGTCTTTCTCCTCTCCACTCGTGTCTTCCAATCTTCTCTCTTTGTCGGATACTACCTCGGCCTCGTCCAGGAAGATGAACACGTCGTCACGACGCCAAGCGCGCGAGAGATTTCCGTTGGCGTATTTGGTAAATCGCACTGGGTAACAAATTCAAAGCACACCTCTTCATTCTCTCGTGATTCCTCCTTGTTCCCCCCGAGCGATCGATCGTCGTTGACTGCTTTCCATGGGTGCGGATGCGACGCGTTGGGTCGCCCGATGGAAACCGGGGTCTCACAGATTATGTACAAGTCTCGATAGTACAAGAGTCGATTTTGACGCGAAAGGAAACTAAAAAAAATTATTTCCTTTTTGTTTTTATTTTAGGTTCTTGTAATCTTTGAATTAATTTTTCTTTTTGTACGTTCTCAGAGATCCACACTCGATTCTCCGTGTACCGATGGAGACCGATGTGTGTGTGGTGTCTTGAAGAAGTTACCTAGTCGAGAAGCATATAGGTTGATTAAAAAAATGAAGAAAGTTTCATCAGTTGTCTTGGCTCGTGACACGTACTCGATTATTGCTGCCAATAATTGTTTGGTTAAAGCAGGTCTTCGAGAGACATGTTTCGGTATTTTTTATGTTGCGAACTCTCGAGATATCTATTTTTGTTTGTTTTACCGTTTAGACGTTGCATTGTTTCTTTCGATCACGAAAAACTCACGTAAACAATCGAGACGGTAGAGAAATGAAAATAGTAGCTGCGAGCTTGTGGAGAGTCTTGCCCGGAAAGAAATTTTTGTCGCGCTCTCTCCCGGGAATACTTTTTCTCAAGACATTTTGTACGATTATTACCGCACACGATGTTGTTTTTCTGTAAGAGTCAGATCCAAATCCAAAATTGTAAGAAAAAAAGAAAACAAACCCGGAAAGCACAAGCCGTCCTTCGCGAGTACAATCGGCGCTATTGATCACTTTTGTAAATCGGTTCGTCAGAAACGACACATATAAAACGGCGCTGATCGCCAATCATTGTTACAATAAATGGCTGATTGTTGCGAAAAGTCAACCAGACACTCTGTGTTGCAGTGATGTTCTTCACTTTTTTTCTCATTCATTTCTATCTGGAAGTAGACATTAATTCGTGACGGTCTGCGAGTGCGCTCGAGACACTCGGATTTTCTCGCGCGGCGCTTCTATTATCGTTCATGATGGTCGCTCCACGAGCGACATGCCTTCACGCGCTCTCGAGTTCTACGCGCTCACTCGCCGGCCGCGCGAAAACAAATTTTTATTCGCGTTCGAAAGCACGCCAGCGTGTGTTCACAGCTAAATCTTCTGCGAGTCGAAAATTGAGATAAACAGTCGCGCCCTCGAGCTTTCGTCACACCGTTGTGAACGTCACTCTTCGCGTTTTTTTTTTTCTCAATCGGGAATGTTTTGCAACCAACTAGTCCAAAGCGCGAACGTCGCAGGCGAATCTACACTTTCGACGATTCGTCTCGTCGTTCAAGTCAGTTGGTAGAATATCAGAAGAGGTCGGCGAGGTCACGCGCGCATCTCGAACGATGTACATGGGTCGAAATTGAAATTTGTGTCAGGGGATTTGTCGTCATCGTTTCTTCTCTCGCTGCCGACCGTTCCGAGTGTTCGCGCCTCAGCCGATCGTTTCTCGCTCGTCTTCGCGTGATCGAGTTCTTTCCGAGTAACAGCAATTTATTAATATCGAAGTTGTCGGCTGATGCGCGTGCATGAGGACGCGTCCCTCGTTTCTTCGTGTCTTTCTCGTTCGCTCGTCGATTTACATCCAGCGTGCTTCCCGACATCCGTCAATGCGAATCTGCGACCAGTCGATGGACCAGAGCAAAGAGGAACAAATAAAGCAACTTTTGAGCAAAAGCTCCTGGTTTCTTGTTTTCATTGCGCAACATCCCTCACCTAGCTTTTCAGGTATTCACGCGGCGCTTACCAAGCATTTTCATATTACTAACTTAGGCGTGGTGTGTGAGTCATTCGAACCTTCATATCATCGAAAGTCCGCAACTCCACGAGGATATCGTATTATCTCTGATCGCTACTCTCTCAAGAGATTGTTACTTGGCTATGTTTTCTTAACAAATGAATTTGTCTCTTCACTGTGTCAAATGATTTTGGGTGAATCACTTTGAAGTTCTATTTAAAGTCACGATTGTCCTCTTTGAGGAAGTAATACACACGTTTCGCTCACATGCAAAAGAAATGTCTCTTGTACAAGCGACGGGAATAAAGTGTGTTGTACAGAGCGGGAGGATATTATTTAAAAATGTTGTTCCAGCACATATTTGTCTTAGAATATTTTAGGATAATTGACGACATTGCGAGATCGAGATCGCTGCTTTCGAGAGATTGTTACTCTGCTACGTTTCCTCAACAATTGAATTGGTCTCTTCACTGTGTCAAATGATCTTTCGTGAATCACTGAAGTTCTATTTAAAGTCACGACTGTCTCCTTTGAGCGAATAACACGCTCCGCTCACATGCAAAGGAAACATCTCTTGTACAAATGACTGGAATAAAATTCGTGAGTGTTGTATAGAACGGGATGATACTATTTAAAGTTATTTCTCCGACGCATTGTTCGTCTTAGAATACTCTAGAATAATTGCGCGAGAGAGCGAGATTTCCTGCCTGGTTTCAGAATTGTTAATTTCTCTAATTGTTAATCTCGAATAAAGTAAACACACCATGTGGAGAAAAAACGAGTTCCAAAAATGCGGCAAACGGGAAAGAGATAGAGAGAGAGAGAGAGAGAGAGAGAGAGGGGCTCATGTTGCACGCAAGACAAGTCCTAGAGAGAAAAGGTCGGAGAGAAATTTGAACGCACGTTGTCGACAGCGCGCATAGAAAGAGAAAGAGAGAATGTCCGAGGTGATAGTTGGCCGATGATGATGCTTGCAGCTGCCACACGCTGTTGGTCACAGTCGACTACTGGGCTGCATCGGCAACCCATGGCAGATTACTGCAGACTCTCCTGTCCGAGATGCGGTCGCAGCTACAAGTATCGGAGCGGCCTGCTGGGTCATATCGCCGAGTGTCTCTCGAAACGAGAGAAAGTGGAGCCTGATTTTCGTCAGCGGCAGGAGCAGGAATGGCAGCAACGTCACCATCGTCACCAACAACAGCAGCAGCAACGAGACCGCTCACATGAGCGGCAACAGCCACCGCACCAGTCGATCACCGTGAAGGACGTTCGCGTGCTGTACAAGTTTTGGACACCGTAAACGCGTTTGTAGTACCGCAGACTGATCAATAATAAAACTCGGCAGTATAAAGATTTCGGTAGTAAAGAGCATTGGCCCTTCTTGTTTCTCGTTTTCGAACGTGCCATGACAGAAATACTTCCAGATTCTTCTAACCTGGACCTCGGTAACTATCCGGCTCTTTGATCCTCTGGCACTACCGCCTTGTTTTTGTCACTTCCTCAGTGAAAATGGACGGCTCGTCCACGGTTACCGATCTTCTCTTTTTCTTGGTTTATTGTGTCATTTCGAGAAGATTTAACCCCCCGTGTGATTCGCGAGTCATTCGCGAGCAGTATTACTTTTCTCCCCATGTACCAGTAACAAAGATCGGGATAAAATCTTTTTTTCTTATTTGAGATCTCTATCTTTCATTCAAAACGTTGTTTTGAAGCTCCCAATGTAATTGTAATTTTGCTTTTTGTTTTAGCAAAATAATTTTTCCGTTAACGATGTCTGTTCCTCACACGGCGGGTTAATAAAGTCTTGTTTAGGCACGAAGTAATCGGGTCCTCTCGACAGGGTGCTCATTCTTAGGATCCATCGAGATTACTGAAATGTTGGTTTGCTCGTTTTTTAAACGATTAGGTTGTAATTGATTTTTGTGATTTACTATTATATAATTTCTCCCAGTGAATACAGCATTGGGTAACTTGGTCCTGCGGAACGTTCAAATTTTCACGTCCTTACGAGTCCTTATTTTTTTATATATTGCCAGAATACATTCTTCCAGATACACGGAACGAAGAGAGAACGTTACCGTGCGTTATAAGCAAGGAGATACAAAAGAAATAAAGCTCGATGTATAATACACTTGATATTTTCTCAATGATATATGTACAGTTTGTAGAAAGACGAAAAAATTGACTTTTTTTAATATTATTAAAACAATTTTCGTTAACTAGCAGATGCGTCGTCACGGCGCATGTTGTTGTCACCTATAACGTTGTACATAACTCGTTCTATTAATATCTGATTAACGATGAAATAAACGAAGTATCGGTAATGACTGTTGTTGATGTGTATTGCATGCTGACACTTTGTCATCCAGCCGAACGTAAGCTTCATGATCGTCACAAATGTGGCGGATAAATGTCGCTGGTTTATAAAGCAGAAGCAGAAGTCGAGGGAACGTCGTCTCGCCGAAGGGAATTCATCCCTTGCACGAATCACCGACGGCAGAATGTCGCGCGTAACTTCGGCCAGTACATTACATTCATTCGCCGTGGATGTGTGTTGGGTGAAACTACATACCACCAGGAGGCATATACTTCACGTTGGGTTGCATTAATTACATCACGGGTGTAAAAATGGACGCACTAATAAGAGCAGCTCATTTTGGTGCAGCATGTAAATAACAACAGCCCGAAATAACGAAGACTGTGCACGAGGGTCCGCCGTGAAGGGACAAAGAGACTGTACGTTTTCCAGACGCAATGCCACACGCATAAGTATAATCGTTGAGATTACAGTTCTTGCATATCTCATTTTTATAAACACTAACTGACATTTCGTAGAAAGACATCGTGCTATTGTCTCAAGAATTTCACTCGTCTCTTAATCACTTGTATCGCCACGAGATCACTTGTTATCGTTCTTCGCATACGTTATATTTTACATTTTAATTATGATTAAATTAAATTTTCATTATTGCAGCAACAAAATTTCGTTACGTCGGTGTATATTATATTTCCTATTTTCTACTGATATTTTCTTTAATAAACAATTCAGTGTTTCGACCGACACATTAAACGTGGCTGTCTGTCAAGTTTTATTTGTTTCATGTGAAATTATTGCAACTCTTGATCAGTCATCGCGGCCATATTGATAACATCAGAAGCGAGGAAAATCATGCCCAAAATTCCTGCGAACCACGGCTAGATAGAAAGATACATAATTAAAATGACACTTGCAATCTATTTTACATACTTACTGAAATATACTACTGAAATGCTCCTCTTTTGCCTAAATAATGATTAGATAATCGCAAAATATAAACCGACAAATTGCTTTATTTTGACAGAAAATCAGCTTTTGTAATTTCGTGTCGAATATGACTGAATGACTATTTATACGCATTAAATATCACAATAAGCACAATATTCGGAGCATTTCCACACTTTTCCACAATCGTATTACATATAACATGCATGCACTACACTCAGTAATAACGCTATGGTTTGTAGGAAAAAAATTGGTCGTCTATTTACATCATTAGGTTTGTTCGTTTTCGATGAACTTTTGCACTAACGCAATAAGTTGGAAAGAGACAAATATATTTTCTTTCGTTCTAATTTATTGCAATAGTCTGCACTAATGCAGAAGTTCTTTGGAAACAAATAGACAATTTCTCGCCTCATAGTTCATCATATTGCAATCATGTTGTCACTGTTAACGTGAAGTTCTCGATTGACTGATCAGGAGTCTTAAGACTTTCTGTTTTCTCGCTACGGCTATCTTGATTTATGACGTCAGAAGAGTGAAAAAACACGCCAAAATACGTACAGAATGCGTTGAACCAAAATGACGCGATATCAATTGAGCAAATTTGTGAAATAATTTGAATACTTTCCTTCTGCTCTAATAATCAATAAGTAATCGTAAGATTAATTAATAGAATCATGAGAAAACAGCTTAAAAAAAGATAAGTTGTTATGTCAGATTAATTTCGCAGTAATTTAATGATTGTTAAAGCAAAAAGACACAAGTTCTCGTAAACTCTTGTTCTCCATTTGTGATCGAATATCGAAGATTCTTTTATTTTTCTACTTTTACAGAAGGGAAGTGTTCGGACTATTTTACAGATGTGCTCGTTCGATTACGAATATGTCGTTCTACAGGTATAAATCTTTTCATTTTAACGTATTTTGCAAGAATTTTTTGCGTGTATCTTCTCGCTTCTGACGCCATTAATAGTTAAGAGTTCCATGGCGAGAGAGCAGAAGCCTTAAAAGTCAGACCTTTCACGATGTAGACGATGCGCAATCAGCATACCAAACAGGCCAGACAGTTCGCGAGAGGATCAAACGCGACCGGAATCACTCCTGCGTGCGCGAACAAGCGGAGCTTTTTGCACAGTCTTCCAAGCTTAATATTCAATATTGTCCACACGCTTGGTTCGAGCTTACTTTCTTTCGTCGACAAGAACGAATCACTTGAAACAAGAGCGAAAGTGAGATGTTTAAGGTATCTCGGCCGAGAATGTGTTTTGTGGCTTTTGCCGATAGAGAGAAAGAGAGAGAGAGAGAGAGAGGGAGAGAGAGGGAGGGAGAGAGATCCGCGCGCACGCGGAAGGGTTCGTAGTGCGTGCAGTAGGAACCCATATGATGTAAAAGGCCTACCCTGTGTGCTTGCAGTCAGCCCCGCGACGGCGTTCGTCCCGACCGGCGGCGGCGATCCGCGATTTCGGTGCCTGCTGTGCGGACGAGGATACAGGACAAAATCGTCCCTGACTCGGCACTCCAGGTACGAGTGCGGCCGTCTTGGGTCCAGGTACACCTTCACCTGCACCCTCTGTGGCAAATACTTCTGCAGGCCGGACCATCTCAAGCAGCACATCCTCAACATCCACGGGGGCGCTGTACCCAAATAACCACGGCTGTCGTGCCTCTCCATCGGCCGCTGTCAATTCGCTTTAGATCCAACGGCGGACAGCGTAGTTCCCGACTGCCGCGAGATTGGGGAGGAACACGCTCTTTGCACCACACTCTGGGAGAGATTTTATATTTTTATAATGGGAGATACATAGAGGGGATAGCAGTCGCATCAAATTCGATTTCAATTCGAGATAGCTCCGGAATTTCGGATCGTTTCTTTGTAAACTATTGTCCATGTGGTGCAAATCTCTGCTGATGTAATTTGTAGTCAGATATACCTTGTGGACGGGGATGAATTGAATTTGCTTTTGCGTCTTTCAATCGACTCTCTCTGTCTCGAGTGGTTTCTAGATCGCTGTGTGACGTTTCAAGATTTTCAATAGGCATCATCTTTACCTCATCGTTTATCGTGGATTCTTATATTTTAGTCGTATTCTTTGCTTTGATTTCTTTTATTGTCCAAAGGAACACCAAAGGGAATTTTTGTTTTGGATCTAGGAGTAGAGTTTAGTTATTGTCATACGACACTACGACTCTTATCCCGATTATTTTACTTTTAGCAGAAAACTCAAAGTTTAGAAATATTTTTTAATGACTAATTTGAGTCTGGAAGCACATGAGTGCTTTTGTTTCGAAATCGTGTGTATTTTCTAAATGTCATATTGGACAATTTTTCGACTATGTTCAAATTCATTACATGAAGATTACTACGTTTTTGAGTTCTGAAATATAGCAAAATTTTGTTCGCTATTAAGGAGGAAAATTTTTTAGGCTAGAAGAGCAACAATATCCGGGAATTTATTTAAAGAAAACTACTAAGTGAATATCTTTGAGAAAATTTTATATATGTAATTAAGTAATATATTTACTTTTAAACAGAAATATTAATTCTTATTTTTTGTGCGAAAATAAAAAAAATTTTGTGTAAAATGATGTTGTACTTATAGTCTTTCAAGGCAGAATTCTTATTTTCGATTTAGTTTTTCTTTATATAAAATGAAACAGAAGTGAATTAAAAAATTAATTTCTTCTTTAAAATGAGTAAAAAAATTCAATGTGAGAATAAAAATTCTGGCTCGAGACTACAACGACGACATTTCATGAGAAACTATTTTCATTTTCTTATTGGACTTATTGAACTAAAAACGTAAATCTTGCAAACCAGAGAAGTATGTAAAGATTGCAGACTTGAAATGGCAATAAATGCCGTGACGTTATTTCTATACAAAAAATAAAAATAAATTATCTTATTTAATATGTAATAAATGTTTAATGAATGTAAATATATTATTTAATCATACGGATACATTTCAAACGTATCCACTTAGTAATTTTCTTCGAATAACTTCCCGGATATTATTTCGACTTTGGATTTATATTATTTGGCTTTCTTAACTTGGAAAAGTAATTTACCCGCTTAACACTAAAGGCCAGGTGTTTCAAGACGTAGTAACATCTAATTTCAAATGCTCAATTAGTTCTTCTTTTTTTACGCGACGAAAAGTTCACCGCATGGAATTGAGTGTTAAATGAAATGCGGAGAAGTCAATTAACAATTGTTGCGTGTTGCACACGTTTGTAGGGACGAACTGCCAAATAGCCTGAACGTGAATGCCAAATGACTAATATTCCTATTTTTCTAGTGCAATATACACACGTTTAAGTTATTTTATATATATGTACGTGTGTGTACGTGTGTGTGATAGGCAAATACATGTGATGGAAAAAATATATCAGTGCGAGCAGAGTCCAGGAGTGATAAGACTATATTATCTATAAGTGAGTCACGTCTATTTCTGCTTTTGTTGAATTTTTACATGTGTGATATAATAACTTACCTTACACCTAAGTCGCTGTTATAAGTTTTAAGTAACGGAGGAGGCAATAAATGAAGGACATGGCCGATCCTTAGGTATATTTTGGAATGAGCCAGTGCTTATTTTGTAACTTTTAACGACGTTAAAAGCGTTAAGAAATTACAGAATAGGCCTGCTGATTTCTAAGCTAAATAACGTGATCAAAGAACAAAGCGGAAGGGATAATTTGTTTGTACCAAGCCGTGACGCGTGCGTGTAACGATTGCATGTGCGTCATCGAGGAAAAAATTCGCTCAAATACGTCTTTATATCACATCCATTTAGAGAAGTTTACCGTGAAATATCACGAAATCTCACGTTATATATACCGGATTACAATTTATTTATAAGTTACAAAATTAATACAAGTGACACTTTAATATGGCTCAGTGTAGGCCGGTGCAATGCGCAGGTTTCGGTTTCTTTTTTTTTTCTTTTTTTTTTGTAATTTAGAGGACAAAAATTTAAGGAGCCGTTCGTATCGAGTGCACGATGATTACGAAATTGAATGAGCAGAGCTGACGTTAAAACAAATATGTATCTTCATTTATTGGAGTTCTGATTTCTTTTGGAGTTGTGATTTGAAAATGTCGATCGCGCATAAAAAAATTGCGTGTCTTTTTGTAGGTGGCAATCCGTGCACGTGGTTGTGTGGCGATTTTTCTGACGTACGTATATTCTCGAGGCTATAAATTATCTGTACTATATGTATACTGCGGATCCAAGTGTGTTATTTTTCGACGAATAAACGTGTGTTCTAGCCAAAGCTGTTTTTACACGTTTCTTATCGTTTTAACACGTCATTTGAGACATGTAAGTTGTATTTTAATATGTTTAAACGTGTCATATGACGTGACTTGAAATACTAAGAAACGTACAAAAGGAGATTCAGCCAAAATAAAACGCTTGGTTGTGCAACGTACTCGTTATTTGTACATATGTATGTGAAAAGAACACATAAGAGGGTGACGCACACTGTCTCACGAGACATCGACGCGCGTATGTTACCGTTATTGTTGAGCATTGATTCTGCAGATTGTTACTTATCGAACTTTATAAATTTTTATGGAATTTCAATAAAAAAGTAACATTAAGCAGTCTTTTCGTCTTTCTCAACCATTCGCATTTTCCTGGAAAATCCTCTCCTGTTTTTTTCAATCTTTCTACTTGTGCATGTCTCTCATGTATCTCTTTCTATTTTCTTTTATTAAATAAAATATATTAGATTACCGAAACAGTCAAAATCGTTTCTTGATACACTGGACACGATATTCGATTCCGGCAAATAATTGGCTTTCAGCTTCTTATGATTTGTCTAACAAGGTGAGGTTCGTATCGCTTTTCAGTTCGAAATCGCGGAAACGATTACATCACAGCAATATTTCATTTCTCATTGACGTTACAGTAATTTTTTTTTATTTGGGAATTTTCTGTAGCAGAGTAGTTGCAACATGTGCTGTGGAAGTGGCTGTAGCTCGGTCGTGGGTAGAAATACTATAGGAATTGGACACGCGACCATCACACTGTCAAAACTAAGCAATTCTTGATCTGATAAAAGTTTAATAAAAATTAATTTATATTTATCATTAATAAAAAACTTTACAAGTAAATTAGGCAACGAAGTGAAACCGACGCGAGATGAGTTTTAAAAAGTTAATTTCCTTTTATTAGTTCTTTTTAAATTTAAGTGCAAAAAAGGAGGTTAATTTGTATCCTCTGTATATATATTGCTTTGTTTGTTCTCAATTGGTTTTCGTTGATTTTCAATTTGTATTCTTTGTTTAATGTTAGTTTATTTGTATGTTGCCTAATAATTCGAGAACCGTTAGAGATATTAAGATGAAATTTTTTGTAGTTTGTTCAGAGTATCTACATGATTTTCAGATTATTGTCATTATTCAGGTTTGTCCAGATGACTTGCAAGTTCGTTGATTACATTGCTTCCTTGAAGATGCAAGGACATACGGAGATACAAGACGAAGCTTTTATTTTCAACTGATTAAGAAAAAGATACTTTCTTCAATCGTCTTCAGAAACAAATTCTTAGCAAATTACTAAAAAATTGAAATAAAAACTTAAAATAAAAATAAACCATGTTCAGAAACTTCGAAAATCCCAAAAAAGAGTATGAAACAGTTTTTATTCAATATTTCTGTGTATCTACAATCCTATCCTAATATATTCTAACGACATTAGAAGTCGACACGAAAAAGATAAATTAGGCAACTAGCTGTATAACTAGAGAAATAAATAATGAACCAAAAGTGATGATGATCATCGACAGTGATCATCGACTCGATTTTATTATCACTAGGAATATTAGGATAGGATTGTAAGTATACAAAATATTGATTCAAAATGATTTCATACTTTCCACTTTTGAGTTTTTTGAAGGCGGTTTATTTATTTAATTTTTTAATCAGAAAATCATATGTATCGTTTTCGTCAAATTTAAACGGTGCATTTCGCAATTTTTTCATCATAGTTAGTAATTTAATTGTTTTCGATAAGATCTTTATTTTTTTAAGAGATCGTGACAAGATTTCATCTTCAAAAATCTTCAGTCTTCTATCGAGTTCGATAATACATTAAAAAGCCTTACAGTCAAGTATAGTCGTGTGAAACGTTTCGTCCATTGTGTACTTTATTTACTCGGGGAGATATCTATGGGACATGGCTACAAAGCGTTGCATTACTCGTTACTCCCCGGGCGTTGCTCCTCGGGTTCCGGAGTAGATGGCCCGACCGATCCTCGCGAGGACTGACGTTACTTCGTTTTATGTTTCGTTGCAGACGTGCCGTACGCGCCCACCGAAAACGGCAAGCATCAGTGTTGGCAGTGCGGCAAGCTGCTGAAGGATCGTTCGACCCTTCGTAGGCACGTCAACTTCGCCTGCGCGTTGACCAAGACCAAGTGCGTCTGTAAGCAGTGCGGAAGAATATACTCCAGGCCTGACACTCTGACCAAGCACGTGGCTAGGGCGCACAATCCTCCGAATCATGTGGACTCGGTGAATTGATAAGCGGAATCGCGCGAACGACTTTTTGCTCGCACCGTTTGTCATCCGAGGGCAAGTCCTCGTCGACGACGCCCGACGCCCTACATAAAGAAGTTCCTATCGGAGACGAAATTCTGTCTCGATTGTTATCGTTCTTCATCACATTTACTCTTGCCTGACTGCTGGCCAACGTGCTCCCGTTTACATCCCCGAGATTTTAATTCTTGCACCGAGAGAGAAAAATATCTGAAGAATGAAAGATATTTATTCGGCGGGCACTGGTAATATGTTTGCTTAAATCTTTTTATTTAAGTAGAACAAACTGTGATTTTATGAAAAATTGTAGTTTTAAAGAAATATATATTTTGTTATTTGATAAATATTTCATATATTATATCATATATTATATCATATATATATATATATATATATATATATATATATATATATATATAT